TATATATATATATATATATGGAAGTCCTACCAGGGTTTACCTCTATGCATACCTCTGCATAGATGCATACATTTGTACATAAAATACAAACACACAGGCACATATATATCTCTCTCAGCAAACGAAGCTCCCCCTTTCACTGGGCTTCTTTGATATTACAAACACCCCCGTGCCTGCTGCATTGGGGTAAACCCTGGCAGGACTTCCATTACATTTGCATGTGGGGTTTTAAATGGCCAGCTAGCAACATAGCTTTGATAAAAGGCCTGGATTAACACCCAGCTACTGGGGCAGGGGCTCTAATTTGCACTGCTCTCTACAGTGGATTGCATCTCTGGAGCTTGCTCGTCTTATTTTTAGTTGTAATTAGCCCTGTAGAAGGAGCCCCTCCCCTCCAATGCTTTGTTAAAGGGAGAATTTTTTTTTTGTTTAATGGAAAACACTGAGGGGAGGATGGGATGGTCAGAGGCACATTGAGCAACAGCCAGGATCAGCAGGGACAGCACAAAGCATCCCTGGGAACAGGAATTCCTCTGAACAAAACCCGGGATCAATAGAGAGGCCGTGCAGCCTGGCCTACGACTCTGGAGTGCGGACGGCTGGAAGGATTTACCCCAAGGCGGCGTGGGGCCGGGAGCGGACTCCCTAGCAGGGCAGTGATGTGAGGCAGCAGATCAGCTTGCTCCTTCGCTGAAGCCAGTTCTTCCTCCAGTGTGGGCCCAACCCCGATGTTTCCCAGGAAACCAGTCCTCCACCACTGCCTCCCCATCCATCCCGCAGTGCTGGGAATATCCTCACGCTGAGATTTCCCCACCCCTACTTTAGGACCAGACTTTGCCGAGGTCTTTAGATTCACAAGGGATCTCTAATTGAGTCTTACAGTCCCCCCCCACCACTAGCTGAAGTGAGAGCAAAGGGTACTCAGCACCACTCGGAGGTCCTGAGCACCTTGCAGGACTCGTCCCTGTTATTGGGCCCGAGTCCTGAAGTCCTGGCCTGCACCCGGATGCTGGAAACCTTGGACCTCCGTGGGGTTCAGCCCCGGGTTCTGAGCTGAGTCCACACGAGGTTGCACCTTGGTCCTGGGTTCAAACTCCACACAGCACCCTCTTTCAGGGGTGCTGGCATCCTGGTGACCTCCCTTCACAGTTATCAATCAGGAATCAGGCCCTGGCAGGGAAGATGGACCTGAGAGTGTGCTGTCAGTAAAAGTCCGGTGGGAGACGAGGCGTGTGTGGACACGGGGCAGCTGCCCTGGCACAAAGGCAGGTAGCACCAGTACCGCTCTGGCATTACAGGCAAGCAAAACCGAAGGGTGCAGCTCGTTCCTGTGGCTTGTGAGAAACCTCTGTCTGGGGCATGCACTCTCTGTGCTGTCCTCGTCTCTCCCCCTGCCTGCCCACACGCGCTGTCCTTCTAGCTGCCCGCTATTTCGTTCGTCAACCGAACGCATCAGTCTCCCACTCCCACCCCATCACAGGCTGGGGCTGTGAAGGCAGGCGTCAGTCACGTTACCTGGCAGTCATTCATCATTTCACTTGCAATCTGAGGATCGTTATCGTCACGCTTGCCGGAGCACTCATGGTCTCTGGGATCCAGCAAGCAGCTTGTGTGCCATTACATACGTTCTCTCAAGGCTTCTGTGTCATGAACTGCAAGCATAACGTTCCTTCTCCTGTTTTCCCATCACCTCTCCCTTGACACCCCACAGCCAGAGTCCTTGTAATACGCTGGTGGTAATCTCTGCTTTGTAGTGATAGGGAACTCATTCAACCGCTTTGCAGAAGCCGTCTTGGCTGTGCTTTGTAAGTGCTGGGCCCAGGTGAACTAAGAAAACCCCCTCGCAAAGCAAGCAAAGGACACAGCCTTTCCATTCTAGCAACCTCTGTTTTGGAGGAGGGAGCTTGGCAGATACATGACTCTTGATCTTTTGCTCTTGCACCTCACGCTCTCTATTAAGTCTTAGAAGTTTAATGCACAAGAAAGACTTTTAAAGCAAAGGGAAATCCCGCCCGTGCAAACAGACATGCAGTTGCAGCGCATGAGGGCAAAAATCGTGGTGTGTACATGAGGCCAGAAGCTCTCCAACTCCCCTGGCTGGAGGGGGGTTGCATTTCAAAAGGCTGCTTGCTGGAAGAAATCAAATCCTCTTAAGGGGCCTGGTTACTCAAGGAGCAGGATGTGGATCACCACATTTGGGAGGAGTCTACCATCCCCACCGTGGCCATGGAATATCAGCCAAGCCAGAGCATCTCATTAGGGATGAGCAGACCTTCTCCAGCAGCAATATGCCAAGTAATTAAGTGATTAGTATTGATTGTTACGATGCCTAAAGAGCAGTTATCATGGAATGATTAATTAAACCAATCAGGAGAGGAATAAAAATTCTGCAGGTGTGATTATCTCTTAGACCCAGTGAGCAAAGGGAGAGGAATATCTCTGGCTCTCTCTCCCTCCAGCTGCCATGCTGAGCACGTGCGGCATGGCGGAGCGGGGATGAGCCTGGCCACTGAATCAGGAAGGGCTGTTTTGCTCTCACCACTCCCCTGAAATCTATAGAAGCAGGATGAGACTTTTGCACCGGGGCAAATGAGCTCAGGAGTTTAATGCAGGCTGTATGGATGCCCGTGCAGTGTAAGTATATTTAATAAAGCTGTGGGACCCCAGTATCACATCTGACAGGTCTGGCAGTTAGAAGAAGTCATGCACCATAGAGAATTATTAGTATCCAGAGAGCAAAATAATGCAATTGGGGTGACTGTGACGCTTTGTCAGGTATAAGCTGTGAGAGGGGCAGTACCTGCACTGGCAGCTGACTCCTCACCCCCCTGATCCATGCCTGACAAAGCCTCATAGTCACCCCAATTGCAGGTATGTCTAGCAACAGAGTGTCCCAGATCCTTCATGGGCAACAGGACCTGTGTGTCTCTATGTCCAGACATAAGCACCAGCCTATCTCCAACAGGAGCCAGCACCACCTCCTCAGAGGAAGGCGATTGAAACCCATCGGG